ATAGCGTAAATATGGATGAGAACAACAATAAGTTCAGCTATAAAAGGCAGAAGAAAGCTGAGATAGGTTCACGTTTTAGAACGCCAGCTGAAAACTGTTTTACAAACGCTGCTTGCTGAAAGTTTATTTGAGACCACTTTGTCCACTTTGTGCTAAATTGCAAAGTGGTCAGTGCCACTTTAGGATTCAAAGCAAAGTGGTTCATTCCATTTTGATCACAAATCTCATTAGAAATACTGGTTCCAAGGAGCCAGGATCAATGTCAACTGACGCAGATAGTCTCTCCTTGGAGCTACTATTTGGAGCTAAAGCAAAAGAATGAAATTAAATCTAAAAAAGATATCACTGCTTTCCCGCTGGTGCAACAATTTAATGGGAATGAACTAAAATAAAAAACGCAACCAATAGGGTAAGTAATATCAGCCTTCTGTCAAATAAACGTAGGTTCTGCAGATCATAAAACGGGAGATTTTTGCTAAATAAAAGGTCTTGTAGAAATTCTTTAATACTAAAATATTTACAAATTTCGACAATTCTAAAAACCTTTTACTTATCATACTTCTCGCTGAAGTAATACAAACCAACCAGAAAAGGAGATAAGTTAGCCAGAAGCGTCTCGCCAAAATTTCTCGCTAAAGTATCTCAACCACATACGCGCGATGGTAGGTATTGGTCAGCTAGACCAATCATCAGCATTTCGAACTTGATTGGTCTAACTGGCATTTTCCGTTTTCCAGTTTTTACCTATACGCTAGGGCGTAAATGAAAGCGTTGTTTCCTTTTAGTCCCAAATAATTCTTAAGTGCTCGACTTAACTAAGTCCAGACTTAAGTCTTTGGTATGTGGACTGACGCTAAATTTCTCATCCTTTCTAGAACAGATCATGCACTTTGAATATGTGTTAAGTAAAATGAACTTGATGGGGTGAATCTATTCAATTAAATAAAGTTTTTAATTAGAAAAGTTTTGGGGTTTTTGTTTTTTCTGGAAAGTAGTAGTCTCCGAGATAAATCAATTTTGCGGAAATGGCGGCGCTACTGTGAACTGTAAAATGCATTTATTTTGAAAACTACTGCTTTCCAAAAAAACCAAAAACGCCACAAAGTTTCTAATTAAAATTAATGCGAAAGCATTTTTTAATTGTGCAACATTCCGTCAGTCTTCACACTACTTCGTTTTGTCACAGAACCAAGACTTAAGTCTCCGTTTTGTACACTACGTGTTAAGTTTATACACTTAAGCCTAGACTTAAGTCGAGCACTTAAGAATGTTTATAAAACACCCTCCAGAATCAATGCGAATTGACTCTGATAGTCTCTGCTCGGAGCTACTATTTGGGGCTAAAAGGAAAGAATGAAGTGGAAGGTATACTAGGCCTAACCTATGAGGTTTTATTATTGATTGAAACAGTGTTCGAATGCATGTAAACGACGAAATAACAGAAACGCGTTCAATCGATGCTTGAAACGCAATTTTTAGCTGTTTAGTCGATATACGAAACGCGTTTCAAGCGCCGATTGAACGCGTTTGGACACCATTTCAATCAGTAGAAAAATCTCATAGAAGTCACTAGAGTCAGTATGTGTTTACATTGATTATGGCAATTTAGGTCTAGCTGTTGGTCCTAGCATATCTTGACCATCTTTTTTCCGTTTTTTTCAAATTTCGACACCAGCCATTTTTGACAGGCGACTTCTGACTACGGTAGAGTGAATTCATTGTATGCATCTTGACTTGGGCATTCAAGTGTCTGAACACGTGAACATCAAGCACCAGGTTTACGATTATTTTTAGGTGTGTTTGTAGAGGGTGAGGACGATTCTTGGCAGAAATCGGCTCATATTTGAAGGGCAAACTATCTCTTTTTGCCAGATGTACTGTATATTCTTACTCAATATTAGAGAGTTTCGCCATTAAAACTGAATGATACAGATACTTTGATTTTTTTTTTGATGAAAAAGTGACATCCGAACGTATTCTGCATTTTGTCACTTTGTATTGACGTATTGATGAGATGGTTTTAGGTAAATGTATTTGTCTTTATTATTTTTTATTCTGTTACAAAATAATTAGAAACTTATAAATATTTTTTATTAATCTACAGATTAAAAATACTAGAAAACTGGAAATAAATATTTTTCTTGAGAGCAACCTCAAATAAAACTATACAGTTTGTCTTTCGATAAGTAAGTGCTTAGCATTCAATATGAGCAGCTAAAGGTTATTTTTAACTCTACCGCACGATTTTTCTGCAGTTTGCTTGTACTGGAGCTCATAGCTCTACAATGTAATATCATTGAGTGATTCCTCAATTTTTACTAGAAAAGGCATTTCTAGACAACTATTAGATTTAGTTTTCGATGATGTAGATTCAAATTGAATTTTTTTTCTATTTGTTCGTTTCTTGATATATACAGTAAAACCTCTTATTATGATTATTTTTTGAACTTACAGAGCATTTTTGTCTGAAATTAAAAATGGTCTGTTGTTTTTGATAAGTGATGCTATAAAACAAATTTTCAGAGAGTAGGAAGACATATATGTGGCACAGAACAGGAACTTATGTAATCAAATAAAGTAATGAAATAGAAAAAAAATGAAGTTATAAAGAAAACAATTAGCATTTGTGTAAAATGAAGACCTGTTTATATTGGTTACTTTTGCATAGATCCAAATGGTGGTCATTTGAAAGAGGTTCTACTATATCACTATTTGTTTTATTTTTTATCGTGTGTTTTTTTCCTGCTTTTGTTACAAAGAACATCTGTTAACATAATTAAAACAAACTTGACAAAAACTTCTTTCATTTGTATAATATTATTTTATCACTATTCTGTTGGTTATGTATGTATAGATCTAAAGTTGATTCAATATGAATATTTTGAAAAGTTGTTAAAATAATCAGAATAACAAGTGTACCGAAAAAAATATATGAAAAATTTTGTACGTATGTTTGTTTTTATTTATAAGTTTTAATTTTAAGAAATATTGAACGAAGAATAAGTTTTAGTTATTGTATGAATATGGATGATAAATCAAACAATAGATTTCTTTTTTCAATATGTTCAGTTGGTTTTATTAAAAGTACAAAATACATTGCAAGTATTTATTATGTTTCTCTCGTTAGTGTGAGCATTTGTTCAACGATTTATATTCACCCTATGGATATTTTTTTTCCGTTCTGACAGGTTCGAAAAGCATGGTTATGATTAATTCTTTTTGTGTTTCGTTGATGTTATTATTAAACTCATTCAGGTGATGTTTAACAGAGTAGAAAAAAAATACAGGTAGCAACAGATAGAAATAACCTATTTTTTAGTTACTAGCGTCTTGAGTCTTTTTTCTGTTGGATATTGAAAATGTGTCTGCCTTTAATCTACACTATAATATCCGCATGTTTTTTTATTGTCTTTTCTTCTTCACACACACACACATACACAAGTGTAACGCGAATCTTTTATATTTTGTCTTGAAATTGTGGTGTATAATTTTGCTTCATTTGTCGAACATATCAAACTATTCTACAAAACATATAATTTCTCTATCTTTTCATTCACTTAAGAGAAAATTATTCGTTTAGAAGAGAATAATTTTATTTTAAAATCTTTTTTCTCTAAACGACTCTCTGATGTTTTTGTTTCGAAGTTTAAGTATTTGATAATTTATCTCACATTTGTTTGTTTGTCTGTTTCTGTGTATATGAACTGAATCTAAATGAACTGTGAATATCATATCGTTGTGTACTATTGCTTTAACAAATGAGATACAGAGAAAGGCATGTGTAAATTTCTTGAAGGATCTATCTGATGAAAGAGCTAGTTGATGTTTGAAATACTGTACTGTATATCCTTACCTAAACAAATATGAATCTATTACTGATAGATAGAAGAATGTTGGTATCTCTGTTACTGGAACTCTCAATGGAACTACATTGTTGCACTAGCCCATTTTTGCAAACTGTGCTTATAACTTTATGATTTAAAAATTTTCATTAACTAGAAGTTTTTAGGATCAATTAACGATTTTCACAAGTGATTTCGAATGTTTTCTAGTATACATATATAAAGTGGTTCTGCATCATATAAACATGCAAATAAATACTTGATTATCAATCAGTACTAAATAAAGAAGAAAATACTTCCGCTATTGTTTTTGAACGTTACTCTATAATAATTGTTTGTAATTCTTCATTAAAATAGTTTTGTTTCTGTTTCAGATTTAGAGTCAACGATGGTATTGTCTATCAATTTTTTATAATTTCATGATGTCACTCATGCCAATTTTCTTGTCTGTTATCTTAATTTTTATACATTTTCTTATTAAATCATGTCACACTAAGACTTCCAACCTTGAAGGTTTTGATTTTCTTCAAACTTTGAACGACATTGAACCACGATGTACATTAAAACAATTTATTACAAATGAAGAACTTCAGTCACTTGAAAAAAGTCTTAAGAGATATTGTAAAGATGGTAAGTATTATACCGATTGAGATGAGTAGGAATCAAAGTTTTGACTCAAAAATATCCTCTAACATGAAACAGGTAGTAGAATAGTTTGAAATTGTTTGAGAAATCTCAATAAAAAGTTTAATTTTTTCTACCCGTTTACACGTGCAAAAAAAAAAAACTATTTTCTAAAGAAGCTCTTGTCTTCACTATGTAAATCGTCTAAAGCAAAGTTTCAGAATCAACGATTTTTTTGCTTTTAAAACGGTATATACTTTCTGCTTATTTGTAGGTACTCAGGAGCAAATACTTTTGTGTCAAATGCTATTAAGTGAAATAAAATTAGCATGTCAAAATCAAATTGAAGGCATTAAAACAAACATAATCACACGGAAAAAAATATGCGATGGCAATAATGTTCAAAAAATAAATGAGTTGATAATTAATCAATTAAATTTAAAAGATGAACAATCAGATTCATTATGTCAGAAAGTGTGTATGGACGAAACATATATATTATGTCGATTCTTTTACCGATTGGGAGAATCTATATTGGAAGTAAGCGATCAAGAAGTACAGCAATCAGACAGTAACGGTAAGTAACAAATGGATTGCACGCTTATATAAAAAGTTTTCATACATCTTCAATCGATTTGTATGTAATGATAACTGTTTCATATTTCTGTAAAGTACTTACAATAGAGAAATCTTACAAGACATTTATGATACAAATAAGAAGAGATTTTGACATTTTTTTGTTTTCTTTATTTACAGGAAATGCTACTGTTAATCAACAAAAACAAAATCCTGTGCCGTCATCTGATATAGCTAATAAATCTTCGATAATGAATCCAGTCATTGATGTGAAAGACAAGGCACTGGAAGCTGCTAACACGAAAGATAGAGTAATAAAGGGTCGTAAAAGTAATAGAGATAAATCTCAACAAGTGGGAGCAAATCTGAGAGATCGGGGGACGAATTTTGCCGATGATGTGAAAATTAAAGGAAGCAATCTCAAAGATAAATCAGAAAATGAAGTTCATGATGCTAAAAATGCACCGATACATGAATCAAATAAAGACAAAGCATCAAATATAACTGGTAGCAGAGAAGAAGGGGCATTGGCTTTAGCAAACAATATCAAGGAAAAAGCAGTACTTGTTGGAAATGAGGTCAAGGACAAAGCTTCGAATTTGGTCGACGGTAAGATTGTTTATCTAATAAATTATTGTTTGGTAGCGAAAATATCGTTATCATTATTATTATCCATTTACTTTTGACGTAAGAAGAAGCGACAATTTCTGAATATTCTAGATGTTAAAGGCAAAGCGATAGATTTGGCCAAAAATGTGAAAGACAAGGGATTAGGTTTGGCCAACGGTTAGTTGATAGTTTGATTCATTCTGGAATAGTTAAAACGTTGTAATTAATAATGATTTTTCATCCGTTGTTATGTAGACTAATTCGCAATAGCTTTCATTTTTTAGATGTTAAAGAAAAAGCAGGTGACATAGGGGAGAAAGTAGCTAACGCTGCTGCAGCGTTGGAAGAAACAGTACCAGAAAAAGTGAAAAAATTAGGTATGTTATCGGTATATTATTTTTCATTACTCTACGTGAAAAAGATTAGAACTTTATGCGATCTGTATATCTTTAATTTCTGATCACAGATGATAAAAGTCTATGTATGATTATTAAAACAATCAGTAGAACAATGATATCAAATTATTTCGTTCACTACGATACAGAAACTATTTTTTCAACTTCTTTTACTAGAAAATATCAATTTTTTCTTACAACCTTTTCACACGAGATTCAACTATGTAACTCTTCGGTGAAATTAACTGAAACATTTAAGTACACATGTTTTATTATTTTTTTTGTATATATAATTGTCAACGGGGAATATGTTTTGATAATTTAGATTCTACATCACCTAGTACCACGACAAATGCTGACGGTGGTGGTGCAGCTGCTGTTCTTAACGATTCTCAAGCAGTAATGAAAAAACATAATTTTACTAAAGGTCAATTAGATGATTCTGTAAACGATTTAAAAAATAATCATGAAAACGTACCGATACAACCATTCAATGCAGGTGGTTCAACAACAACAATAGCATCAAATAATAACATTGCTAATTCGCTCGTTTTACAACCATCTAATAATCAACAAAGAGAAGGCGGAAATGGTGATACTTTACAAATAGCTGCACCAAAAGCCAAATCTTTATCTGCTCTAGCTTCCTTCAATTCTGCTATAGACACTGGTGATGCGATTTTGAAAGTACTGCCTGCTTCATTAGATCGAGGTACTAATCAACAAAATCGCCAAAATAAAGCGTCAGACGAGAATGACAGCGTCAACGGCAAAGCATCAGAGTTAACCAGCAGTGTTAAAGCCAAAGTAGTTGACATAGCACAGAAAGCAACAGAAATAGGTGTTAGTTTGAAAGACTCAGTTGTTGGAGTTAACAATGTAGTCAGATTAAATACAATAACAAGCACAACAGAAGGTCCTGTTATTAACGATAATCAGGAGGAGGAGGACGACAGTAGTAAGTACATATCGTTCTTCATAAGTAACTTCTTGATTTGTCATAGTCCATAAAAAGTGGTTGAGATACCTGTGTAAAGATTTTATATGTTTCAAACGCGTTTAACGTTCGTTGCTGACAGATGCGTCTGAACACGTCCAGAATGAAACATCTGAACTCATCTGAACCTGTCTGTAACTAGATGCGTACCGATGTTTCATTCTGAACGCGTTTAGACACATTTTTTCCAACGCAAATATTCACACGAAATGTTTTTAAAAGAAAACAAAAAACTGCTATTTCTTAGAATAGACTACAGAAAGTATTCTGAATTAATGGCACACTCTATATACAGAACAAATTTTTACGATATCTCAAGCACGAGTGCAGGATTACGTTTTTTTTATTTAATAACACGTTTTTAAACCATAAAAAGAGATATTAGCGTTCGAACTAGAAATAATCAAGAAGACAAGAATGTGTTTTGCAGGTTGTTTTGGATTGGATAATTACTGTCTACGAGCATGGTTTCATTCAAATCTATCATTTTTAGGCAACAATACCGATAAACTCGAGGAGTCACTAATTATTGCTTCTGACTAATCTCATCTTGCATCATTAGTAGTATTTTAACTCGGAATAGGCTTACCAGTCGACTTCTAATGCTTTTATTGCTAACTTTTCTATATACAAATACTATGGAACTTGTTTAAATCTACTTTAAGATAATAAACAAGAACAAAATATAGTCAAAACACAGAATGAACAAGCTCAACAAATGGATGGAAAACCAATAGATACACAAAAAGAAAAAGAAAATCAAGATGACCATGATCAAGATGATCATGCTGACAATATCGATGATGAAACTAAGTTAAAAGAACAAATTGATCAACAGAGAGAGCCGAATGGCAAAAATTTAGAAGAAGGAAATGAAGATCACGGTAAATGTAGACTATTTCTCATTTATGATAGAGATATAAATATTTTTGTTTTTTCTACATTATAGAACGAGGAGATCCTGATGATCAACCACCCGGAAGAGAAGGAGGAATGGGTAGAAAAAAATTTGAATATATTACTTTTTTAAAATTTTCAAGGATGATTTTAAAATTTAAAAGTGGTGTCTTGATTTTTATGACAAAAAAACTTCGATTGAAGAATATATTATTTAGATCTAACATTTTTGTTTTCTTTTTAATGAAGAGAGACGTTCATACAACGTTGCATAAATACATTATTTTTAGTACTAGAGAAAAATATTTCATTTACTTTTTCGCATATCAAAAATTGAGAAAAAAAAGAATATTTGCCTCCTCTTCACTGATCTAATTTTTGTCTTCAAATTACTTTTGTAGTCGAGGAACCTCCACCCGAGAAAGATGATCGAATTTTAAAGGCTGATGCTGCTGCAGAGAAAGATGCAGAAAACGATGCAGAGGAAAACAGAGCCAATTTAGAGTATAACGATAATGTTGATAAAGTGCCTGAGAATGAGCCGGAGAAAAAAGGTGCAGAAAATAATGCAATTAATAAAAAGTCCAATGATGACAGTGCAATCGGCCAGGCAGAAGAAGAAGACAACGAAGGTAGATCTTTTTTATCTATACCTATCTAATAGCTAGCATTTATAAATTCTATTCTTGCTTTTAATAAAGTACGATAAGCTGCTTTTAACTATGCATTAGAATACTTGAAACTAAAAGCATGAGTTATTCGTGCATAGTATCATTGTATATTCAGCTGAATTTTTTATGCTTTTGTGTTTTTGTTAACATGGAAAATATGTATCTGTTATTTGGAGAAAACGGAACAATAACACTGCTTTTTACTATTTGAAATAATCTGGCTCTATTTTGCTGTATTGAAGAATGACGAATACATGTGTCTTGTTATTTGATATAAACTATTTTTACTAAATATGATGTGTTTACTATTTTTAGCTGAGAAAAAATTAAAACAAGAAGAAAAAGAGGTTGCTGCGAAAAAGAAAAAGAAAAAAGATGGTGTGTATTTTGATTATTTGCTATAAAATTAAGTTATTTATATTGTTTTCTCTACTGTTTAGATTCAATACAACGAATTGCTCCTGGAAGAGCTCAACCTCAACCAGGTAAGAAGATCATATACTAACGACCAGCACTAGCACTAAAAATTGACAATGGAAAAGGTTCTCTTTTCACATAATCTCTTAGCATACACCATTTGTTTGACGTACTAGAAACTCATACTGTTTTTTGACTCTTTCAGAGCGTGAGTTAGTCAACGAACGTCAAAGTAAGTGTTTGTTTTGTTATGTGTTTGAAGATAAAAGCGATTTAGATTTTTTACTTACACATATGCAATAGACGACTTTTTCTTCATTGAAATTGAGGTTGTTTGTTTTACCAGCATTAATCGAAAGGAATTTGAAGGAATTATTTACTAAAAGTTGTCACAATGCAAATTAATGCGTAAAATATGAATACCATATTTAATTTGTAATAATAATTATTTCCTTAAAATTTTTCTGATTTGAAATAGTAATTTACTAGTAGGTTAAAGACTAATAATAAGTGTATCAACATTCTAGCGAATGAAACGGAACGTTATATTTTTTTCAAAAAAAAACAACACAAAGTGTATCGTGTACACTTAAGCTTTTATTTAACAAAAGTTCTGTTAAAAAACACAGTATAAATCTTAAATTTATCAGTATTACACAGTCATTTTTTTCTGATTTAATGTGCGAATCGACAATAACGGTTTCTGACGTTCTGTTTTGTTTGGTGCAGTTTTTAGAAAAAATTCATAGTAACAAAGTTTTTTATTTATCACACTGCATTGACAGTCGTCTTTATCAAAACAGATACACGTTGTATAAAAGAAACGTGTAATCATGCACCTTTCTCTGAAAGGTGACATTTAAGTACAAATATTGTTAGAAGAAATTTGTGATTTGAGAAATTTTGTGAAAAGATATTTCTATTTGTAAATCTGTTATTACATCTCAACAAAGGATGTATATAAAGTTTATACAATGTTGTTTCTATTTGTGAATGTTTTTATCTGTGAGGGAAAATAACTTTGGAAAAAAAGTCCCGCGAACCGGATTTGAACCAGTGACCTAAGGATTACATTTGCTATTACATCTACAGTCCTCCGCTCTGCCAACTGAGCTATCGCGGGATATCTACCAGTATTTTTCTTCAAGTATATATACCAGATAGTATTTGATGAACCGTTTAGTAATTTCTAGATGAAAAAAGAGTGATTAAATGGTATATAAAATTAAATGTTTGTTAGATCTATTTTTATGTTTGAGAAAAATAAATATTTATACATATTCTACATTTTAGAACCGAAATCTATTGAACTTGAGTCAGCATTTAAACTACAAAAAGGCGAGAGACACTGGCTTGAAGGTAGTTCGTGTAAATAATCTACGGTGTTGGTTTTGGCTCTTATAACATAACAGATAGCCCTGTGTTTTTCCACTTGATTATTCGAGTACGAACTCATGTGAGTATATTTTTCTAGGTGAAAGCGCTGGAACAAAAAGTGTTTCCCCTCTGTCGGATCCTTTGGGTTATTTATCAAACGTTGTACATAAGAAAAAGAGTAAGAATATTAGAAGAGGTTAAAGTCAATGACATATTAACCTATAGATACGCGTTTTATTCAGCTTCTATATGATATTTTTTACAGTCATGCAGTTGTGGAGCGGAGCTATCTGAAGTAATACTACTACATGTGCTATGCAATATTTTGCATAGAATAGCACCTAATATGCCACTTGGCTGTGTGTGTGTAATCTTAACAAAACTATTTTAATGGTACGGTTAAAACTAATTAATTGTAATGGGAAAAGTTGACTTTTGATAGAAAATAGTTAAAAATATGTAAATTGAATGAGCAAAACTCCATTAGAATGCATAATATTTTTTTTCAAAATTTTCTTTTAGAAAGTATTAAATAGATAAACTACTCAAATCTGACATACATAAAAACATTATGGTGTTCATAATTTGCGTTTAACACTTCTATAACTGATGATAATAAGTGATACGTCTGTTAACTTAAGTTTTTTAGAAAATTCTATTTTACCTTGGTATTTTCTTTTTTTAATTCAGAACTTCATCAAAGGAAATCTGACGATGGTGAAAGTGATTGGCCTGACAATTTTATTACATATTTTTTAACATTTACACTCGTCGTTATTATCGTTTATGTAGCATTACACCATAAAAATAAAGTAAGAACATGATTTTCTTTTTTCCATTTAATTTCTAATTTTATTAGTACCATCTGGGATAGTTTCAGTTTTAACTAAATATGTATGTACCATTTGTTCGTGTCCAATAGTTAGAATCATAGAAAATGTTGACACGTTTACCTCTTGCTTATCGCCTGTTCTTAAATTGAATAATCGATCATCGATTATTTCAAACTTATCTGCAATTGTTAAGACTTTCAAAAGTATTTCCCAATAGTATCGTCAGAAAGAAAGCGATTCGATAGGGATATCAATTACTGAAAAAACAGGTAAATTTTATCTGTAATAGTTATCCAAATTGTTCTCATCTCTTCTCAAAGAGTTTAGAAACGGCATATTCCTTCCCATTTCTTTTCTGTTCAGCACTACTCAAAATATTTGTATAAACAAGTGGCAAACGTGTCATCCACCACAAAACTGAAATAATCGTAAGTTGCGTGTACATTTATTTTGATAGTTGTTAACCCATTCTATAAAAAATTATGCGATATTTTGTTCGATTATCTCTACTATCCTTGTATCAAGCTACAACGATGTAAGATAGCCTTTAGATTTGTTGCTTTGTTATAATTTTTCTATCTAACTTGATTGATATTGAGTCCCACAATATTCACAGGTGGGCAAGTCCCACTGAGACTGAGGACTCAGTCTCAGTGGGACTTGCAATAACTAATAAGCTTTTTTAACCGCACTGTAATTGGACTGAGACTTGCTTGATTGGGACTGATTTTTCAGATCAGTCATTCAACTTTTGGATTTTAGTGTAGAGAAAAAGCTTTGATATAAGCATTTAAACTAACAGAGTCATTTTTGTAAAAAGATATAAGACAAAACATGTAATCATAGGAGAGAATGGGAAAAAATTTCTGGATTGGACTGACCTCGGACTGATGTTTATAGGACTAAAAAACAGAGGACTTGCCCATCTCTACTCGAAAGCGTACAAGATTTCATTTATTTTAAAATTTATTACGTAAATAAATGTTTGTGAGTTAAACAAATCCAAAAGAGAGAGAATTCTTACTTAAGTCTATAGCTAAATGATCAATGTCTATTTTATTATATCAGCAACAAACTAAACTAACATAATAGTCCGTGTTTTGAATGCAGAATATGCTTAATGTAGTAAAAAGGTAATTAATCGAGTTGCCGATAGAAAACAGCTAAGATTATTATCATCGGCTCAAATTAATGATTTAGTTATATATACATAAAGGAATAAACATCTTTTGACCTTCTTTTTTCGAAAACTGAACTTTATTAAAATACGGTAATAATTTTTTTCTTATATTGAAGGTATTGGCTCTGCTGGTGGAAGGTTGTTCGCGCCGTGGACTAAATGGTCGTTATCATTTTGGTGCACGAGGAGGACGATACACACGACTATCACAATCTTCTTGATATGAACAAAAAGGCGTCCATTTCCTCTTTTTTATTCTCAACGAATGTTATTGTTTATTTGTTTTGCTTTTTATTCTTTCCGTATACAACGATCGATCACAATAAAAATTTGTTATTTTATTTTTTCATCTCATAGTTAATGGGTTATTTGGTCCAAAGTCGAAGTGCTGGTACGTGGACGAAAAGATTAATCATCGAATTATTTATCACAAAGAAATTATGAAAAAATAAACGAAAGTTAACATGAGTTCCCATTCATGGAATAGTGAATCGATCACTATTAAAGGATGGGGTTGCTTTGTTATTTTTTGTTATTTGTTATTGTTTTTATACATTTATCTTGAGCGATCTAAATTTTTTGTACCTAAGCCGTTATTAGACAGTAGATTTCGTTTTCTATTACTGTTAACGAAGGGTCCCGGTTTTTTTAGTATTCGTTGGCGTATTAATACCATTTCATATACGTATCAGAAGGCATATAGTATGCAAAGCAGACAAGAAGTCAAATCATTCTTTTATGATCAAATTGTATTATCACACGTTTTTACATACATATCGAAAAAATCTCATACCTCCATACTTTTTATAATGGATTCTCATCACACATAAAAAAAGCTCTATATTTATGTCAATTTTTATTCTTTGTGATTTTTGTTGAATACTATTTTCGTAACATGCTACTATATGAGATAATTCTTATAAATAGTATAATATGGTTAGTTCTAGCACAGCATTAAATATTTGGATTTGTTTTCCTGAGAAAAAAATTGCTCGTTGATATTTCTTTTTACGTACACGATTATACCTCATATATAAGTCATCTTTTTCTCTTAGTGGTTGTTTATTTTGTCAATGTATATCTAAGTCTTTATCATTTACGACAATCTTCAGTCTAATCTTATGATTGTCTTTCTTTTCTCATGTCAATATAATAAATCTGTGATGTGTATTGTAAATTTATAATTGAACAAGTTACGTTTTTTAGTTTCTTTTTCAAGTCAATAATTGTTTTTTGTTTTTTTTTGAAATTGCGTGTTTATTCTTCTCTTTGTTTTTGTTTTAGTCTTCCATTTTGTTTTCTTTTTCCATTTTTATTTGTAACATTTATCTACGTTGCACATGTGAGTTATTACACTGGAAATACGATCAGGAAAGAGATGAGACTGAATAAATAAATAAATCTATTGCCTTTATGTCTGACTACTAGATGTTCGTTTGAGTTTTAAAAATAGAAAGATTCTCATTGTCTACCATTTGAACTTTATCCATGTAGAATCATTTTAAACCTTCATATTCAACTTTTTTCTGAGAGAAAAACATTTTATATATGAATACAGTTTTGGAATGTTTTTGTAGCGTTGATACTGGAAGGTTGTTCGGCACGATTTTAATTTTTTTTCAAATACTCATTTCTTTACTAAAATTACGCAATGAATCGGCTCTATTGACTTTTATTTAGAGCACTAACGTCATAATCAATTGTTCAAGAGACAATTTTTAATAGTTCGACGTAGGTCGGTTCATGAACCCTGTCAAAACTTTAACTTTTCTCAATTGCTAATTTTGTTAGACATGCCATAGATATGAAAACGTTAAAATATACGCTCTAACAATCTCTCGTCCATAGTCTAGAACCAAAAGAAGTTTTCGATATGAACTCACCTAAAGAGTGATGAAAAAATATTGTTGAACTACATATTAGCACTATTAAAATTTTTTAAATACACGTTGATCTGAAATTAATATGTGAATTTTTTATTTCAAATGCAGATATTTACGACACAATTAAGTATAGAACTCGATTCAGTCAAGGCTGTGCTAGCAAAAACTACTTAGGGCATACCAAAAGTAACGAGATTTTGAGCTAGTATTTGAGTATTTGAGCTAGTAGACATGATTATTCATGCACAATAAATTTGTTTCAAGACATTTGCTGAAAGTTTTTTTCGAATTATCTTTGATTAATAAACTCAGTATTTTTGTTACAGCACTGCATACAACGATTAAGAACTATTTTGATCTGTTAATTTTCTTGGACATGGCCGCTTAAAGAAATATAGCGAATACATAAAGGGGTAGTAGATCACAAGTTCTAGATTTGACACACACAACCAGACTTCAGTTCTTCAAATTAGAAGGACTGCAAGAGAGAATCTCTACCGACTACAGTTTGACGCAACAATGTTTCATGCCTTTTCTCAAACTAACTAGCCAAATACTCTTAAACAATAGACAGATACGAGAAGAGAGCAAATATCTAACCACCAATATTATATCAAAAATTCCCTAAAACTACTTATCAAGGGAGTGAAGCAGCAAAGATCATCAGATAATGTTTCGAACATCAAAAGTCATTATGACAACGTTCCATCGTATATTCACAAATAGGGGTGTTAGCTGATTACTTTATCGGCGGCGGCGCAAAACTAAAAAAGAATTTTTCACCTTTGGCGGCAGCGGTGTAAAAATTTTACAAAAAGGAATAATTTTCAATAAATTTCCTTCAAAGAAGTTTTGAAAAAGTTTTGGATCAGCGACAGCGGCGAAAGGTTCAAAAACAAATTCAGTCTACGGCGGCGACGGCGTAAAATTTCAAAAAAAATTTTCGGCGGCGACAGCGACGCGGCTAACACCTGTATTCATAAAGTTGTTTTTAGTATCTCGCATCAAAACGTATCTAAATATTTTATATTCTACGGGTTCAATACTACATGGTTTTCAAGTGTTTTATCTAATTCATAAGCTTATTAATAAATCAATCACTGCACTGAGTGCTATAACAAAATTGATGAATTTTTCAATCAAAGATGATTCGAAAAAAACTTTCAGCAAATGTCTTGAAACAAATTTATTGTGCGTGGGTAATCATATCTACTAGCTCAAATACTTGCTGAAGTGAAAACTGAATTATTTCTAGTTCGTGGGGTTTTACCTGTAAATCGCGTTACTTTTGGTATACCCTAAGTATCAAAACACTCGTAGACAAATGTAAAAAGAAACGAATAAAATAGACTTTTACTGGTTTTAACTTAGTTTCGGTTGTGATCAGATATTATTGTTGTCATTATGTAGTCTTATCCAAAGTATAGAACAGGTTTGTAATCAGTAATTAATTAACGATTGTTCTCCATTATCCAAAAGTTTTATGCAATGAAGTGATGTACCTCTATCTTAAAATTACAATGAGTTTAAACAAGAGATCTATTTTACTCAAATGAAGGATTATATACAACAAAGAATGAAAATCATAAATCAACTTTTGATGGTGACGAGCCGTGTAAAACTTTTATGATGATACAGATTAGAAGTGTTTTTGCTAATCAATCTAATATTTACAGTATTATTTTAATCAAAAAGAAAGCTTTTCCCTGTGAATAAACATGTCAATAGTGCATCGCTATTGTCTGAAACAGTTTTCATTCGCGATCTATCTACGCTATTTCAATTTTGACACAAATGAAGAGAAATAGAAATGTGACTAGAGACCAACTATCCTTCAGGAAGATTGGAAAGTTGACTGAGTGAAACGGTAAACAGACGAAATTAGAAGATCTAGAAACTCATATATCTATGTACCTTCTACGGCATATTATTCACATTGACATAACAGCTGATTCATTATCGTGTCTACTATAGCTTTTATCATATCAAGCACTGTTGCATATATTCACTATGAAAGATATCACGTGACAATTAATTATACAGAAAACGGCAAAGTTCTTCAAAAAGATATGCCCATATTCTAGGACTAATTATAGCTGAGCTAATAAAAGTATACATAGAAAACTTAACCTCAGATGTGTCATCTACAACCATTTTTGATCTGACTAATTTTTTCCCGACTCTCTACGATCAGTTATAACCTGGAATCTAACTCGAGCAAGAAAAACGGTATGGAAAGAAAGAAAGGAAGAAGAATTTTGCTAGGCAACGCTCGGAGTGAAAAGCAATAAGTCTCTTGAGTTTCACTCAGTCGATTTAATAAGTAAGATCAACATGTACAGTTGATCATAGTCTTATTCTATGTGATTATTGTTCTTGTTAGTGTAGACTTCAACTACTTTATTTCAAAGTATATAAATAAGTACAGCGTATTGTTCTGGGGTCGTATTACGAAAAAACTTAAGTCATCAACTTAAGTCGTGATTTAAGTCTAAGTTTAAGATCGGCTTAAGCCTAGGGACTTAAACCGTATTACGAAAAGACTTCAGTTGGTGATTTGATTACTTTTTAAAAGTCGTTGGCAACACTGATACATTTGAGATAAAAGCCTGCAAAATAACGAAATATTTATTCTTTAAACCTTAAAAAGTCGTTTTCGTCGAATCGTATCGTTAAATGCCTGAACTATTCGAAAAATGCGTCAACGACGTGAGTTTTCCACCTTAACTTTAAGACTACATTTCCAATGGCTTAAGTTACCCTTTGACTTAAGTTTTTTATAATACGGTAAAACTCAAGTCCAAAGACTTAAGCTAGTGACAGAGACTTATGTCCTGACTTAAGCCCAAACTTTGACTTAAGTTTTTTTGTAATAGTCCTCTCCGTAAGCCCCCTGATTTTCAGCATTAAACAAACACACATTAACCGTATGATCGCTGTCACATATTTGCGGCATTTTTAAAATTTATTTTTGCATCAGTCACATTTCCATTTTGAGAGACTAGTTTTATATATTATGTATTATCTCTGCTTTAGTTCGAGAAACTCGTATTCTATTATCAGTGTGTTGAGTTGATTCATTATATCCAGTGCATGAAATAATAACAACAAAGTCAGAACAAACTACTGCTAGAAAAATTTTTTATTTCTATATCTGAACGATATTTAGAGTATACAAAAGAATAAATTTTTACTACAACTGTATTAAAAAATATCTGTATGTACAATAACCATTAATGAAAAGAATAATATTAAATCTGATATTAGACTCAAAAAGTTATATCAAATTGATTTTAATTCTAGAAAAGTTCTATTTATATCCAATTGATTTTCTTTTTACATTCCATCGATCGTTTTTCTATAATTGTTCTATAATAATTTTCAATATTATATCTAATTTTATTATATGCACCCCAAACATCACCTAGATAAGCCGATCGTGTCGGATCAAGTCCAGTTTTTGTAGCTGATTTTCCGTTTCGACTAATCGAATTATATATGCCTTGAGGATCATTAAGAACTGCTTCCCAATCGTACCATGTTGCATTGTTCACCACTTTCCATTGTTGAGTAACAAAATCTCGAACATAAAATCCGATATCACGTGGATTACGTACAATGAAACGTGGAGGTGAATTAGATTGAAATCCTAGAGTATAATGTCTCAATACTTCTTCTAATGCACACATACACCAACGTGATTCACGTTGCATTGTATTTTTCGCAGAAGATGGTATATTTATTTTGGATTTTGAATCAAATTGGACGCTCATAATAACAGTTACAAGTAAAAGAAAGAATAGTTGATAATTAAAACAAATCATCATTTGTTATTGTATTTATCCAAAACGCATTTTAAAAATTAATATTTGATACGTAAAAATTAAATATATCACTCGTCTAATAACTATCTACAAGTTGAATACGTACATCCATGAAACTTAAGACTGTAGTAGAGAATTGACCATCTTGTTCGAATATTAGTGTAACATGTGTATTAACATTTACTTAGATCACTGCTGTTCATACAGTTTCCTTTGATTAATCATGACTTACTGAAATTTAGTTGTTATAAAACAAAAAAAAATATTGTTCGTTCTAGTTAATAATGAAATAAAACGTTTAGCAAATTTTATTTTATTTTTTTCTCAAGTATAAAACATTGCGTCGATTTCCACTTGACTGAACTCCATAATACAAAGTAGCCGAATGTATGTGTTATAAAATGAAATGCAGCTTTTTACTTTCAATTTTATTTTCATATACTTACGTCCGCTAATCGACAGTCACTACAGTTATTATGCAACAGATATACATTTATATATATATACAAAGATATTTTGAAGAGCGCATATGATGTAAGAAGTGAGAAACATTCAATCAAGCTAGAAAATGCAAGTCAAATGAATTGAGTTTTTATGTATAAATGAGCTATAATTCGTTTTGTTTTTATTCAGATTCTATAGATGGCCTTTCATGAATCTGTTACGAAGGTTTTCTTTGAAACAACGACAACATACATCATAGTTGATGAAGTGATAAACTAAAATAGACTTACCTATATTCAATCTTTCTGTGATTTAACAAAGATATTTTTAAAAATATTATAAAAATCGGTTTTTTATTAATAAATTTAAACAAATAATGTTACCAGATAAATAAAATTATTTTTGTCCTTTACGTCCCATAACTGATGACGTAAAGCAACCTTGAAACTCCTGTATCTTTATCTAGATCGATACAACTTACACTGGGAAATAATCTGTTTTTTAATCTGATGCATCGTCACCTTGCTATAGTGATTCTATGATATCCATTATCCATCCCAGTGGACATTGGGTCCTAAAGGGTTACTAAAATAATAGTAAACTGTTGTACGGTTTTACTAGAATACTCTAGACTACTGATGTGTCAGAAAAAAGAGAAGATTTTTAATTAAATATGTTAATTTAAAAGCTAACATTTGCTTTATATTACATGGTTTTCCGTAACAGACGTATTCTTCTGCGTATTCTCATGCTTAAAATTTGTTTAATTAGTAGTATCGCATAACGGCAAAAAGTTTGCCGCAAGACGGAGATATTCCCGACTTCGCTCCGCACAGTGGACACTTTTGGCTAGAGCAGGCAGACATGTAACTTTGGCGCTCTGAAACGGGTTTTCCTCAGAAGTGATTGTGTATCACTCCGAAAATCACCTTGAAGAAAATAAAGAATTTTTTGAAAAAAATAGTTTTTGACGAAAAGCACCTGAGGGGGACGAACCCTTGCCTATATTTTTTCGAGAAAATTCTTTTGTTAATGTGCCATACATCATCCGACGCAGTTTCATGCGCTAATTCCAAATATGTCATTGGTTTTGAATAGAAATGCTTTGGAGTCCGAAAAGGAGGTATTTGACTGGAAAATCAAGGTTTTTGAAAAGCCTATAAGTCAGTCTAAGATCATTTAGGCTAATTTATGCTACTCGTACAGATGTATTGTGAGTAAAAGAACATTCTGGTAAAGGTTCAGTGGATTTGGAGTTTAGGCAAATTTAGGTATCTCATTATATCGAGCACATGTCTTTGGAAACACTTCGCCTACAAGGAAAATTATTTTTTTCTGACCAACAAACGGCCGAAAAAATTTTTTTTTAATAAATCGATAGAGTGAAAAGTCTAGTTTTAGCCTATGTATACGCTTTGTAAGAAGTTTCCATTTTCGATAATAAGACTCTTTATTGCTTAGTAGCTAGGTTTTTCGATGAATTTTTTTCGCTATATGTTTTCCGGCTAACTATGATAAGAAGAACCAAAATTTTTATGTCATTAAATAGCCTGTAGTTTGAAGTATATGTAACACTATTTGAATCGTCAAAAAGTGCACTTTCAACTTTACCTAATGTCCGCCTGAAAGTGTGCTCCGGTATACTCTCATGGAGTTACACATCCTTTTTCTGAAGTCATCTTCCACAGAACAGACATGTATTCTCTTTCCTGTCAATTGTTCCCATAGATACTCATCTGTTATAACAAATAAGAGTCCAGAAAAGAATAATGTATAACTCCATGAGGAGGAGAAGTTGGGCTAGTTGCAAACTTTCTTATCTTGATGCCACACTGATTCAAAAAGCCTTAAGCGTGAATATTACACAGGAGAATACGTCCCTTTTAACACATATCATTTCGAAAATTTTAAAAGTCAATTAAAATTCATATTTTTATTAAGAAATTTGAGTTTAATTAAAAGTAGGTTGTAGAGGTCTTCACGCTCTTTCTTTTGATATATGTGAAGTTCAATTTAGTTTTGAATGAAAAATTTTGGTTTTCCAAATAATTTTAGGTAAATAATTCAAATTTAATTTATCACCTATTAAAACTAAAAATTTTTATTTTTTTTCACTCTAGAAAGCTGACACTATTTTCTATCAAATATATTATAGGACAATTTCAGGAAATCTAAGGTTTGCCTATAGTTAAACGAAAAAAAAAGTGTTCAAATAATATTTTTGCCTGAAAGACTGAATGCTTTTCAATATCTTATCCGACAACTAGGAAGCTTCATAAATTAAAAGCTCATATTTGTAGCAGATACACTTGAGACATGTAGCTATCTATTGATGAAAATTCAATCGATTATTGCCTAGATATTCAAAGAGAAAATTGAGATTTTGTAAGTGTTTGAATAATTTTTTTTACCGACTGTATGTATGTAAAATTTTCCAAAAATATAGATTTGCTATAGAGATAGCTCGACATTCATCCATATTCTTCTTTATATTAAAAAAAAGTCAAACGTGAAAATGTAAACTCTGTGAAAAAATGTTCATGCGAAAGCAAACTATCGTGTGATCAGTACATTACAATGAATCAAAAATAAAATAACAGAAAAGCATCTTTTTTTCTTAGAGTAACCGTAAGAAGAGACGAAAGTGGGAGATAAACAACTGTTTCATTTACGTATTTTTACATTCTCTTTGAAGAAGAATCAATTCATAACAAAGTAATATTTCTGAAGTAGAAAAAAAAGAATGTCGTGTATAAAGAGATATGTCAAGATTAATATAATAGTACAAAATTACAAGAATGAAAGAGAAGGAAGGATGGGTTTATATAAATACGTATATCATCACATTCGATTCCAAATCCTTGATCTTATTAGTTTTTTGCCAATATATCTACCATAAAAAGTTTACCTATCCAATCAATAAAGCATATTTTAATCAACTGTTATAAGTACATCTCTAAAGAGGTATATGTTTGAGTAGATCATGAGATTCTGTACAACATGAGCAAAATTCATTATTTTCTATCAGATAGAGATATTTTTAGAGAGATGTTTTGACTGGAAAATTTTCTTCTAAGAGAACTATGAATTAATCTCCTTTCATGAACAATCTTATAAGTGTGAAGACAATGATGAAATTCTAGTTGAGACAAAGTTTAGACATATATTGGTAGAATTTGATGAAATTGTAAAGTCTAATTGGACTGTAAGCTAACATATCGGCAAAGTCGACTGTTGACATTTAATAGGCATATATTGAGATTGAGTCCTATTCGAGATACTCGGGCTTGATCCCTCGATACTGCCTGATACTCGACTACCCGGCTTCTATACTACTCACGAAGATCTACATTTTGAAGTTAGTCGTATTTTTATACACAGTCTTTCTTCTATTCTAAAACAATAGCGGAAGACGCTTTTCAGCTTTTGGATTATATTTAGTTTAAAGAAATAATTTTTGTTGTGCGTTTTTGCTGTTTGTCGTATATCATAGTAGCATAAAGTCATGAAAATAGGTAAAACCCGACAGAAGTTGGATGCAGCAAGAAAATCTCCGCGAGAAGATAGAGATCATTAGTTCTGTTCTTTTTGTTGATTTAAAAATACAGCAACAGATCTATCGAGGAGTGTCGAGTCCGACCACTCGGTGCATGTCTAACACTTAATAAGAAAAAGGAGAATTTTAGAATTTCTTGATTGTTAAAATTGTCCCAAAATCATTTTTTATTGTTATCTAAATACTTTATATAACAAGTTGTAACGTTGAGATATCTTTACTAAACATTAAGTATTAGAGAAGAAAGATCCTTTTTGACGTCAAGATCACAGGCTCCGTATAAGTTTGCTTCTTCTTTTTTTTCTAAAGTAATAAAATGTCTCTAATTTTTTTGCTATATTCACCGGAGAAACTATGCCAGTATCATCTATTCTATAACTCATTTCTTAGATTAATTATGAATAGATCATAATCATAATTTGTTTGATTTTTCAAAAAAAGAGCAATCAAAGCAAATATCTTTTTCGTCTTGAGACAAACAACAGTTATTTTTAGTTTATCATATACATGAAAATATCAGAAATAATAAGAATGTCATCCACTCTCAAATCAGATGAACATCGTCAATGCAAAAATAAATTTTTTATCTTCAATAACAATCTACAATGAGATAATTTTTTTTACAAAGGACCTTGAAATATGTCAAAAATTAGTAAAAATCAGTTGTTGGAGAAATCTAAAGTAATTATTTTTCTTTTCATGGTCTGTCTGTTCAAATATGTTCCTCTCTATGAATACATAAATATAATCGGATTTTTGGATAAAATCGGTGATCTTTCATGTTTGACAAGGTAAAAGAAGAGAATTCTGCCGTACGGTTATCGTTGCCAATACTGACAAGTCTAACTTGTCAGTTTTCACCAGTCTAATGACTTCTCACACATATTGTTACTAGTAAGTTAAATATGTTTTACTGATTGGATAGAAGATATACACATTGGCAAGAAACTAATCGGATCAAGTAAATATAAATACTTTTGGAAGCATTTGGAGCGAAAAAAGCGAATGGGATGATAATACGTATTATACGAGTCTATCCTTCGTCAAAAGGAAAAAAAACAAAAATCACAAGTATTTAATTAGAGAAATAAAACCAGTGCTTTATTTATTGGACGGTTACCTCCTTCTATTTTTTTTTTATTTTATCACTCGGTTTCATTTTTAAAATTGATTATCAGTCGTCAATTTTGAAATACTTTTTCGAGGGGGTGTTTGTCCACCTCTCAAATCTTCATCATCAAATTCTGACGACGAATCGGACGATAATGAACTACGTTTTTCCCAGTTTATTTCTTCGTAGTTATTGTTCTCATTCCCAAATGCAGCCATCTTAATGATTAGAAAATATATTTTGTTAGATTATGATAGATAAAATTTTATTTATGCTTACTTTTCGTTGTTCTTCTGCAAACGTTTCTTTACTTGCCTCAATAGTTAATCTCAAATCTCTCTCTTCTTGTGTTTCTATAATGCCTAGTGTTAAATCCTGATCAGAATCTCCTATTTCTGTTGATTGTCGTATATTTTGACTATTTTGTATAGTTGAACGTGTTGTTGCTCGTTGTTGTTGACAGTGTCGAATATGTTTGACAAGACGATAAGTGCCATAAGTGGGTGCGCCAATCGTTGCACCAACTGCTAACAGAGCAACAGCACCCACAGCGGCAACAGGGGCTGCAACGGCAATAGCACCTGCTACTAAGCCTCGAACAGTTCTACGCAACGCTGGTTTATCAGGATATAAATTATATTTACAACCTAAAACAGTACGTATTATAAAGGGTGAGTACTAAGTTTTGATCCTCTCTGTAAACTGACGTTTTTATAAGAAATACATATAATAAAATTCAGCTGTTTTTTTGCAAAAGATTCACCATTTAATTGTCTACAAAACGGTATATAGGAGATGATCCTGAGACTTGAGAGCCCGTCTTGATTGAACAGAAATCGAAATGCCCCACAAACTTTCAGTTCAAAATTCAAAATCGTCGTCAGAAAATTTTGGCGCATTTTGATTTCTGTTCCATCAAGACGGAATCTCAAGCCTCAGTTTCATCTCCTGTATACCATTTTGTAGAGAATTAAATGGCGAAGCTTTTATAAAAAACAGCTGAATTTTATTATATGTATTTCATATACATAACGTCAATTACAGAGAGGGTCAAAACTTAGTATCCACGCTTTATTGCTAAGTCAATAACTTTCTTTCTGTTAAAAGTGTATTCAACAGAGAAAAAGAATGAATATACTCTGATTTATTTACATACCTAATGGAGAATATCTACTTTCATGGGTACCCAAAAACTTCATTCCCAATCGTCTTTTTCCACAATTATAACAAAAATCACAGCTACATTTTGTACAAGTCATGTGCGGACATCCGCCATTGCGAGAAATAAATACCTGAATAAAGAAAAATATGATGTAAAATTATAAAAAATTGTCATTTCAATCGATGGTGTCGATTAATGATAAACACCTATTTACTTGTCATTTCAATTTAAGTTTGTACATACTTTACACTTTGGACATTGTTGTGCATTAAATTGATTTTCATCATATTGATTTGCCCATTGTTTCAATAGTTTATTTCCATCAGTATAGTCTTTACATGACATTTTCTCATGCCAAGGACTATGACATTGAAAACACCAGATAAACGAACATTCCGCACAATTAACACGTCGTGGACTAGATTTGTGGGATGTAAATAGTTTCTTGTCTAATTCTAATATTGAACAGCACTTTGGACTACAAAAGAAATAAAGCACACTTTATGAGATTAATGAAAAGCCGAATTAACTTTTGAACGTATATTTACTCATGTGACAAACTGATCTCTCTCTCTCTTTATTACTGTGTGTTGATAAATTTTTCTAAAGTCATGATGATCAGACAATATGAATAAGATATTGGGCATAACAATTCTTATATTTCGAGTAATTGAAGCAGAGATGTACTGAGACGGAAAATTCTCAGAAGAAAAAATTCTTTTGTTGCTAAACGACGATCTAATCTAAACCCAGAAACAACTCATGTGGTCTATTTTTCAAGAAAATCGATGGTTATTTCAGCTGAAACCATAGTAACACAGCATAAAAACTGACGATTAAACGTCTAGTTAACTGGAAAAAATAGCGGATAAGCGTCCGGTTAACTGGGCGCTTAACCATCCGCTTTTTTTGCTGTGTTGCTATGGTTTCAGCCGAAATAACCATCGATTTTCTTGAAAAATAGACGACATCTACAAAAAAGTAAACATGAAATTTTTGACGTATTTTTCTGCGTAATACTATAACTATTTAATAATAAAATATGATGTTTTTTGTTGTTTTAAAAGTATCGATTTTGAAAACTGTCGCAGTGGAAAAAACGTTTTTTCAACGGTGGACAGAATGGTAATAATTTCCAAAGTAATGAAGCGGAATCGGTTCTGAAAAATGGATCCTCCGTACATGACGGAATAAAAAATACCGATACACAATCAAAAGAGAAATTCTATAAACTATAATTCACTGTCCTTAAATTTCATTCTCTTGCACTCACCATGTTTTAATATTAATTTCTTTATTAATATCCGCATAAAATCGTTTATACTTTTCTTTTAATTCTTGATTATGATTTATATATCCTAATATTTCATCTCTTGTCAATATATATGTACACTCTTGAATTGGACATGGAATTTTTATTTTCGCTTCATTTACATGTGTTCCGATGTAAAGTTGTAAACATTCCAAACACACTGGTGATTGACAACATTGTGTAAGTGGACGTAAACGTTTATCATGATAACATATCAAACATGTATGATAGGATAACGGAGAATTAACTGATGTTGATGTATCTGTAAGACCTAATACATGCTGTAGTGATAGACGTCGATCAGCAGCTCCACGTACACGTGCCTGAATAAAATGAGATGTTGCCCTATGTATTGAATCATCATCTGTTGAATCATCATCTAATTAAAAAAAGAAAATTGAAGAATAGAAATAGAATATTAATCAATTTTAAATGGTTTACATATTACAGTCAAATAATACTTTAAAAATGAAATTTTTTAGAGATTATTAAAAAATAATCAATAATATTTTAGTCAAACCTATCTTTTACCGTATCTATTGTCATTGTCATCATCATCACTTGTATCACTGCTTGAATTTGATGTAGAATCCTCATCTTTTATCCTATCTTCACCAATAGAATTTATCCAGCTGACTGTTGGAGATATCACTGTTTGTTGTTCTTTACCTTGTTGTTCTTGAATGGGTATTTTATCAAGTTTAATATTTTCATAATATGAAGATGGTTGAATTAATTTTTTATCCATTAGACGAAGTGAACCCTGACGTTTTAAATTAGAGTCAGTTGTAATCATAACAATGTCATTTGGCACAATGATAATTTCAGAAGATTCATCGTCATTTTCTGTAGATGTCGGTGATGAAAGATGATTTTGATTGGAAATTGATGTAAATGATTTTAGTCTTGAACGATGATGATTTTTATTATGAATATCAAAATTATTCGAGGATATAATTGTTAAAGGTACAATAACATTACATTCATCTGTTATCGTTTTTGCCACTAGATCGTCAGCTGAATAAGATACCATTTTCATATTATTTATTAGTTTGAAACTAAAAGATAGATAGAAGAAAAACATGTTTAATGAGAATTAGATTCATGTTTAAATAAGAATTTTTCTTAGGTTCAATTCTTTAATCGAATATTATGTGTGAGCAAGGTCAATGAGAAAACTACAAATAAAATAAAATAAAAAATGATCTGTTCGTTTTGGTTGTTGCAGTTATAACTTATCGTTTACCTGTTGACGATTAGCCTGTCAAAAAATATATTCAGCCTAAGGACGTGACAAGCAAGTATATATGTTAAATAAAAAAAAAAAAATTTCATCAATAAGAGAAATCTACATTTCCTCTCTTCCCTTCTCTATATCTTTCGAACAAATCGTTTGTCGTACGTGCATGTATTTTGAATATACATCAGATTACACTCATTTTCTGTTTTATATAATAAGTGAAATGAACTTCAATAAGAAGAAAAGAACCTACTTAATCTATAGAATATGTCTTTATCAGACTTGTTTAACATTTTATCACGATTAAAAAAACAATAGCTTAACACTTCTCGAGAAATGGAGAAAAAAAATGGATAGAGGGAGGTATAATTACAGTGATTTGTTTTCTCTATCATATGATTAGTGACAGAAAGTGAGATGTTCTCAGTTAAATATATATATATGTATGTATGTATTATTAGAAATGTTGCATCATTCATTCATTAATCAATTAATTACAGTTGTTGCAATAAGCTGTTTGTAATAAAAAAAAAACAACGAAAAAGAAAAAGTGATAGTTAAGTATATAGAGGAGGTACTTTAGAAAAACTGGCAATGTTCAATATTTTTTGATTTTACTCATCATCTTGACATCAGTTTGAGCTAATTTATTTTTATTTTTATTTTATTTTTTTTATTGTTATTACAAAAGATTCCCTATTCAATTCTTTGATCAAAAATGTGTTGAGTGTTTTATTACGAAACGTGAAAGTAAAGAAATGAGATGAAAAAAACTCTATAAAACCTCAAAATAAAATTAAAAAAAAGTGTTTTTTGATCTTCTACGTTAATCCTTTGAGAAATGAAGAAAAAATTAATTAGCCATTAGATTTATCTTTTAGGTGTGCTTAAAATTTTTTCATGAATCTATTTTATTTTTTGCCTTTTTTTAGATTATAGAAAAAATATGTTATTCGTCTATGTTCTGCTCTGCTGTTTCGTTGAAATCAGTAAAATAGTACGTTTTACTTGTATAAACCATTAAAAGAAAAGTTCAAAGTTTTTAATAAAATGACCTTTACATTTTTTTTTCAGTTTTACAGAACTTTTTTTATCTCTCTGTTTTTTTTGCAAGAATTCTGACACAAACGTCTTTTGATGTTTGAAGAATCTCGAACTGAGTATTTCATGTGGTTAATCTCGATAGTTAAAAGTGTAACCTTTAACTTTATTTTTAAATAATATCTTTATGTTATTTTCATAGGCCGTTTCAACAACAGTCTTTATAAAACTGTCTTTAAATTTAACTTACAAATTAGATAAGAAATTTGAATAGATAACAACAAACTGTTATCAAATGAAAATGACAACTTCTTTTGCTGCTACCTGTTGAAGATAATGTTGGTAAGAAATAGTTAACATCCTTATAGTTCTAATAGATCTAACTAACCTTGTTTGTGGTAAACTTTTGTTGTGTTCATTTTGAAAACTATTTCGTCGTATTGACCTTGTTGCTGCTGATGATGTTATCGATGTCATTTTTTTCTTTCTTTTGCTCTAAAATTCTGTCTCTTTATATATATATATATATATATTTAGTGATAGCTAGTTAATAAGGAGATCATAAACATAGGGTTAGATAAACTAGCAATAACAAATCTTTATATGTTATATATGTATATATATATACGTATCTAACCTCATGTTATTTTTTCTTTCTCGTTTTTTATTTGTGTACAATACAATGATTTAACTTCTTTTTTTTTTTTATTCTTATTTTGATTACGTCGACAATTTAGTCATTGCTACTAATATTTTTCTTTTTTAATACGACAAAAAATAGAAGAATCCTCGTAATTTTTGCACTAGGCTCGAATTACTCATGCCGATAGACAAGTTTATGATAACGTGAACGAGAAGAGAAACTAAAGACAAGGTGTGTGTGTGACTCAAAAACGACAGATAGCCAAAATTATTGCAAAAAAAAAGAAGCACATTTTCTTCCATTATGTGTGTGTGTGCGTGTTTTTTCCCCATATGTCGCGCTTCTGTGTAAATGGTCGAAATAAAAAAAAAAAAGTTTCTCTTGTGATTTAATAATACAGTTAGCATTTCCAAATATCTATGGGTCAATGATCCGTAACAGATGAAATACCTTTTCCTTCTTTCATTTTGTTCTTGACAAAAAAATCTACTATAAATTCATATAAACTAGTTATATACTTCCGAAAAGAACAAATTATACACTGATCAGAAAGAGGTCAATTATTAATAATCATTTTTTTTCTACTTCTACGCTATTGAAAAAAATTTGATGTGCACATACTATTTTTGAACGAGACAAAAAACTCACACAAAATAAAGTAATCCATTTTTGAATAGTATACTATTTTTTAACGTACTAATTAATTTAAGAGTAAAAAGTTTTAATAAATAGCGTTTGCGCAACTCGTTTCACTCTTGTTGTTAGATGATGATATTCACGATTTCTGCTAAGAAACAAAATAGAAACATAAATTATTTGCTGTATATTTGTAGCATAGTAGAAAATACTTTATTCTTCTCTATTCAATTTATCTATTCAATATTGAATACGGACGTTTCTTTGAATATATAATTTTCGAATTATAAAGTTATTATTAGCGATAGCTTTATTATAAAAAACAAAATTACTATAACTTAATAGCTTCCATGAACATAATATATGGTAGTTATCAAATAACGAATATTATCATAATATATGACGTCTGATGTAATAGTACTCCATTTAACACCATTTTTTTGTTTTGTCTTTATGTTAGCTAAACTAAAGGATGAAAAAAACTTGTACTAAATATTTTTATAGCTAACTAAGTTTCTCTCCTCAAAAAGAAAAGTCTTTAGTCTTGTTTAACTTACGTGTTTTGACAATAAATTTAAAAAAAAAAGAAAATAATGTTTACATTTTTTATTACCAACGAAAAAGATGTCTCTATTTTATTATTTTTTACATGATATAAACAAATATATTTTATCTCAATTATCGACTATCTTTATTTAAGAAAGAGAATAAATCTTTTATTTTTTTTCTATCACATATGTTCTGAAATATTTTCTGTTCATCAAAAAAAAATGAAACAAGATACATAGTGTCAAAAATATCTACCTAACAACTAATCAAAAAACGTGAATTATTCATATAATTATTTCCGTTTTATACCGGACATGAACAAAATAATGATCGTAGAATAATCGTCCTAGGAAAACATTTTAATCTATTTCATAGACAATAGTTATCGTGCTCCAATCAGTTGTTTACTAATAACCATATACATAAATTTCCGTTCATCAATAAGAACTTAAAATGAGACGAAGGTAGATACATTCAAGTTTTTACATAAGACATATTTTACAATAATTTGCATAAAAGTTTTCAAGTAAAAATATATTTTTCATGTAAATAAGTCTTTCAAGGCTATTCTTCTTGTAAGAAACACATAGGACTATAGAACAGATTTTTTTCAGCACTTTTCTAATCCATTTTTTGAGTTCTTTTTATCTCTTGTTAATGTTCGTAGTTTTTTTTCTCTCTCTCTCGTAATAATGACACTTAACGGTTGATTGATTAGAATAACGGATAAATGAAATCAACTGACCTTTTTTTACCTGTTTCATTCACTTCGTTCACACTAAGAATAATGAAGTAATGATCTAAAATAAAAAATCAGTAATAAAGAATTATTTTAAAAAACCTGATCCGACCGCGATTATTGGATAAAGTTAAAAAAACTATATACAAAAAAGAATGCTACTGTTGTCTATTTTATGTTCGAACTAAGTAATTTCTCTTCTTTCTTATCAGATAGATCAATCTGTCGCACTCGGCAAAATCAAATTTGTTTTTGCTCGTTGTAGTCAAATATCCAGTAATGCAAATGTAACTGCGCTAGCACCAATACAGGCTGTATAATACAGGCTGCCTCTGATTCCACCAAACATGTGAACATGTATTTTTGATATTTAGTCAAGCAATTTCGAGAATAAAACAGCGAAATGGCATTCAATTCGGACTGTCTAAGTCGTCGAAGACAGAACAGCTCGAATATTACTAATATGCATCGAAATTCCTTTCACACCTGTCTTAATAAAGCACTAGAAGAAGTTTTGGCAGAAGTATTCAGACAGGATCCTGAAGTTAGTACATCACGAGTCCTCTATTAAGTTTCAGCATTTGTTCGTTAAAAATCTTAAATAAAGATCGAATTTTAGTAGAAAATATCTGACTGATGCACCGTGAGAACTATCACAAAATCTTTATAATCTAAAATCTCAACGATGCATTTTTGCTATTACTTAGGGGTATCCAAAAGTAGTGGCAACGACACTTTAATACCCTATATTAGGCTAATAGAAACTTTCTTTATACATGGACTGATAGAGGAAAAAAAGCTGTATCTTTCTATACTATCTGATCTTAGTTCAAATAATACCATAATAATAAAATTTTGATACGATCTGTTTTGTTCGCATGTGTTGCGGTTACATGAATACTATTGAGTATTTTACAAATAACTTTTGATAGAAATGAGATATAACACTGCGGTTTTGATCGTTGGAAAGAGGGAGATGAAGATGCATCGGAACATGTATTATCTACTTTTCTAATATTGATTTCTGAAGTATCTTTATTCGATTTCCTAATTTTCAAAAAATGGTCTTTTTCATTAGAAACGAGAAAGGGATCAAAGTGAGTTTTTCTTCCCAGAAATTGCGAGAAAAGAATATCAGGAGCTCAGCTACGATACGTATCATTCATCTAAAGTTTCTGCGGTTTTTCGATCTTCGATTCGTGATTGAATCTATATTTGTTAATTGACAATTCACTGCAAACGACTTCCCACATAGATTTTCTCCTAAAAAGGTCAATTGAAATGCTTATAAAAAAACAGATCAGGTGGTCTTGTAATACATGGTTCCACGCATCTTGATTTCCGTTTTCCAACGGTGAAAACTGCACTTCTCTATATTGCTTCTATCAAAAGTTAATCGAAAATTACTCATCCACTCTTTTTCAAAATGAGCGTTGATGTAACCGTAACACATGCGAACAAAACAGATCGTATCAAAATTTTATTATTATGATATTATTTGAACTATGATCAGATAGTATAGAAAGATACAGCTTTTTTCCTCTATCAGTCCATGTATAAAGAAAGTTTCTATTAGCCTAATATAGGGTATTAAAGTGTCGTTGCCACTACTTTTGGATATCCCTAAGTAGTTTGTATGCATTGTAATCCATCGTATGTTTTTGACGTAATATCATGGCAAATTTGTATCGATCAGGCTGTTGTAAAATGAAAAGAATTACTTGTTTTCGAAGATTTTTCATGTAAGACCGTTAAAGATTCACCAAATACAAACTCATATTTGGAAATATTTTGTATTTGTGAGCAGTTTGGTTTTGTTTGCTTTGTCTTCACACAACTTTGAAATTTGGAATTTGCGATTCAAACAGTTCGAATTTTGATTTGGTCGCTAAATAATATACAATCATTTCTAATACTCCGATTATCATCGGAAAGATGCCAACGTATTTTCCTAAATACTTTCTATTACATGCCTTATTCTTGTACACTATCCGTTAGACAATACCATTTTAAAGACTCATTTTACTTGTCTTAATTATCGCTCTTGAGTCGAGAATGAACACGATAGCAAAATATTCTCAATTTGAATTTAAGAGATATCTTAGCTTTTACTCATAAAACTCATCAAACTGTATGAAACGGTTTAAGAGATTCTTTCTGGTTTGTTATTCATACTGTTTTATATAAGAACGCATAAATTCGTATGCCATGTTTTTTCATCTCGTCTGAAAACCTAAAAAATTTCTTTTTTTTTCTTTTTCAAACTATCCCTCAGGAAAAAAATAGTTTTAGTCGTGTTTTTGAATTTATTATAAATATACAAATATATTTTAGAAAAATAATTATATATTCTAGTAGCGCTTGAAAGTCTTTATTAGTTGCTACTTTCCTAGTCTGGATTCGAAATTATTTTCTGGCAAAAGTTTTGAATAACGCGTGGTCCAGATTAAATTGCCGGTTTTTCATAGGCTTTTTTCTCAAGTTAGACTCAATCAGAAGGTTTGGTTCTGATACTAAAAGATAGAGAATTTTGTGTAGATTTTATTGATATGTTCTTTTTTAAATAAGCATGTACCGTTCTTTTGTAGTATTAAAATTATTGGATGCTATAAAAACATCATTTGCTCAGCACTTGACTAGAATAAAATGTCATTTTTATTTGCTAAATAATTTTCTATACGTTATTCAGACATACTATGAAAAAGTACAGAAACGTATTTGTTTCTGAAACACAAAAACAAATTTTTGGATGTTTTACTACGTTGAACACTGCCTACAAAATATGCGTAATTATCTATTTTTGGCGCACTTTTATCCCAATGAAAACATTTCAACTTCGTCATTCGGTTAGAAAATTGATCGACCCTTATAAAGAAGAGCATTTTATAGAGCTTTAAATTCTACATTTGTTTACATAAAAAGAATAATTTTTGTAAGGACAAGTTATGAGAAAATTGCTAAAGAAAAGTAGGATGACGTGGCCTGTGAACGTCTTTTTGATGTTTTGTAGTTTTCGAAGGAGCAGTACTAAGCTTATCAAACCCAACGCATCACAAGATACGCCGAAAAATTTTACATCTCTTACTACAAGAAAGGAATTTTTAAACTCAATCTAGGTGAGCAAAATTGATTTTTACACGTTTTCAATTTTGTAGTTACGCAAGTGATATTTTTGTGGCATCCATTTACTTTTAATGCTACAAAAGAACGGTACATACTTATTTAAAAAAGAACATATCAATAAAATCTACACAAAATTCTCTTTTAGTATCAGAATCTTTTAGTATTAGAACCAAACCGGTCAAGTCTAATTTGAGAAAAAAGCCTATGAAAAACCGGCAATTTAATCTGGACCACCCGTTATTGTTAATGCCCCCTGCTTATTACATTTCCGAAAATCGTAATGGATGCGACCTTTCAGTATTTTCTATTTTTCTTGTGTTTCTTTATGACCCAAAGGTTAATGTTTTTTTTAAAAAGATGCGCCGCGAAATATTCTATAAAATCATACCTAAACTTTAATTTCAGGACTCCAATCAAGAAAACTCGGCAAACTATACGAAAGGTGAAAAAAATGAAAACTTTGTAAAATCAAAAACGATTTCATGTGTTAACGTTTTGAAAGTAAGAAAAACTGAATTAGTCATTTTGTAGCCCCGATCTTGTTCTATTGTTTAGATAAACTTCAAATTTTTTCACACCAAAACTCATGGAGAAATAATGCTTTTTCTATCTTCTATATATATTCATACAAACAAAGGAAAAGTCATCTTAGCCATAGGTCTCTACGTTGTTAATATTTCAAATGTGCATGCACTTACGGAGGAACCATTCCAAGTGTCTAGTCGTTTTCCTCTCAAGGCATACTTGAGTAAGTGTAACTTTTGATGCTGATCATGAATCTGATAACTAGTGTTCCTCTTAAGACTTTTCTCTATGGATCGTCAATAATTCAGTTTCTACAGACTCATCACCAACTTTCATTCGAAGAAACTCTGTACGGTCAGTTTTTAGAACATACTGAGTTGCCTGTGTAAACAATTTTTGAGAACTAAAGAATAGACTTGTACTGGAATATGAGAATTTTATCAATATGAAAACGAAGAAGTTCAAATAGTTTAATAAAATAAATAGTCAAAATCTCCATATTTAAGTAGAAACTCGGATATTAGATTCGTGATCAGCATCAAAAGTTACACTTGATCAAGTATGTATCGAGAGAAAAACGACTGAAAGCTTGGAATGGTTTCCTTATGAGTGAAATTAGTTGCCTAGATTAGCTGTATCATTTTTTCGGCATCAAACAGTCCAAAAAAGTTTTATATCAGTATCTGTGGACATGATATTCTTCTATATTTGTGCAATATGTATTTTCTGTGTTTTGTTTATTTTTTCTACGCTTCTCTTTTTGTGTTTTTCTTATATTGTTTACTTTCAACTGCAAGTTATTTCACAGCTTGACTATAAAAATACTCCTCTTTTGGTTTTCTTTTTCAAAAAATAATTACGAATAAACCAACGTCTTATTTATAATTTCAAACAAATAATCGAGTAGATTAAACATTCTCTACAAAGTGATAGGTGTCTCAGCTCTGGAGATTGATTCGTTAGACAGCCATTTTACAAACAGTACAAAAAAAATCGATTTTGGTACTGGATATTTTTAATTATTTTTTGCCACGTCGTTACGGTTCTCGTTGTTTTTCTTTAATTATTGTAGATAAATTGAGATACTTTTAATTTTAGAACTTATCACATCTCGTACAGCAAATAATTCTCTACAAACTGGTATAATTTTCGAATTTCTGCCTGATAACTAGATTGGCACTCCCGTTCTGCTCGTTCATAATGACAAAATATCGGACGGTACCGGCGTTAAACCGAACGATGACCGCGATTACCATGCAAAAATTGCAATTTTTTTCAATGACCTTTAAGTCCGTAGATTTGTAAAAGATATAGATGAACTTGATGATTTTTGTCATACTAGAACAAAAATAAGGTCATTCTTTGTTCTTTTCAATATCGATAGATGGTAGAGATTATCGCTCAACAGATACGATAGACGAAAGAAATGAAAATTATTGATGGTGATTAATATCGATGTTGTGTAAATAAAATACATGAACATAACATAAAATGGACAATTGTTTTATCTAAAATAAACAAATTTATCCAGCTAGTAAAATTCACAAGCATTTTCTTTTTAAAACTTTTTAAAATAATAATTTTAAAATATATGCACGCTTTCAAGACGAAAATATCCATAGCATATCTCTGATTTTAATCTAATTCTAAAATTGTTGAGCTAATAAAATGATACATCGTTAAAGAAGTTATTATTCTAATATGAAAACAAAGAAGAGTTCTCCACCATTTCTGTCACAGTAAAGAGAAAATAATTTCATTATTCTGACAGATTATTCGCTGAAACTTTCTACTATATGATAAGTGATTTTATACTCTGTTAGTCAAACTTTTATCTGTTTGTTCAATTAACTATAAATTATTGTTCAATAAATTTATTTTTACGAGAATTGAATATATTATTTACTAAATGATCTAATAACAATAAATAAAGTTTGTATAAAACAAACTTTCAAAAAAAAAATGTGTCTATTATTCACTCTAATATAACCAAACTATCAATGAATTGAATAGACATTTATCACAGAAACAAAAAAATAAAACGATACAAAATATGAGTAAACTATAATTAATTACGTTATATGAGAAAAGAAATCTGAACTATTGTTTCTTTTTCACAAAAAATAAACTAAAAAAATAATTTAACAATTGAAAGACATGATGATAAAAAAATAAAAACAAATATAAACGTAGAAGAAAAAGAGGCATAAACTAAATTTTCTTTAAAAAAAAAAAAGATTGAAAAATATTTTTGCACAATGAGAAGATGATGTTTGAGATGCGAATTGTATAGATAAAAATTATTTGATTAGAAGGAAAAATAAATATTTTTTCATATTGCAGGCTTGATTATTTTTTCTTGATCTAAATTTGAAATCTTCTTTATTTTCTTGATGTTTCTCTTTCAATTAGTTCATTTTTTTCTGGTTGTAAAAATTCTTTTATACACGTATTTAATAAATCTTGTAATTCTTCTCGAGCTTGTTGACGAAATTCTTCATGTAATTGATTTTCATTCGTATTCGACGGTTTTTTACGTATTTCTGAATACCATTTAATTTTTGGTTCAGTACCTAAATAACAAGAAATAATGTCAATAATGTGTATTATATTTAAAAAATAAATCATTTCATCTTTACCTGACGCTCTGATTGTTATTTCACATCCATTATCAAAATAAAATGTTAACATTTGTGTGGCTGATGAACATGGTAATTCTGGCTTTTTATCTTTTTTTGTTCTAAAATCCACTTCAATTCCAACAGTTAAATCACGAATACCCATTACATTATATTTTCCACATGTTGTTGGATACACATAGTCTTCATCATTAGCTGTTTTTTGTTGATTTTCATCAACACTAATATGCGATTTTATTTTATTTGAATATTGAACAATTACACTTTCTTCTTTTCTCTCTGATTTATGAGCATCTGTTGTTTGACTTTTATCCGATGGCTGAAATAAATCAAACATAAATTACAAGTTGGAATATAAATAAAAAAATGAGAACTTGTTCGAATAAAATTCATCTTCATTTGTACTTACTGCCGATATTTTTTCTTTATTGTCTTTGCTTTCGGTTTGTGTTTTTTCTGTGTTACTTTGTTCTTGATCGAAATGTCGTAATCGATGAAATATTTTTAACATAACATCTGTTTTATAACAGAAAACGTAAGAATTTTCATTAATATGATAGCCGTATATTGTTGATATGTGATCTAATTGTTCATACAAAGTACGATTAATCGATTTTAAATACGTACATAATTCAGCACCAACAACACACGCTGATATACCATCTTTATCCAACACATTGTAAGGATCACACATAAAACCACTAAAATTAAAGAATAAGAGTTTAACTATTTTAACATTTTCTACCGTTTGAACATCAATCAACAAAATCTCTAATGTAACTTACATTGCTTCTTCAAAACCGAATAATACATGTTTCTTATCTTTGATTAATTCAACTGATTTGTTTCCAAGCCATTTAAATCCTGTTAATGTTTCAATTATATGAAATCCTTCAACTTCTCCAATTGATTTTAAAATATGAGAAGAGACTGTCGAATATAACATGTACACATCATCAACATTAACATCCGGATTTGAATTACGCCACGTAAACCAACGCCACCAACCTAAAACACAAAGACAAATAGAAAATATGTGTTGAATTTTAATTATAATGTACAGTTAAACGTAAATGTTAAATCAGTGCTACAATGAAGATTACGCACAAATGGTTCAAGTAGATTTTGTTAAAGAAAGACAAAAAAACATTTGCCTACTAACCTAATAATGCTCCCAATTGATTTCCTGTTAATATTCTCCATCCACTTTCCACTGTTCCCACAGGATCTCTTTCCGCTAACGCAAATCTATCAGCATCTGGATCATTAGCCAAAATAAAATCACATTGATTTTTATTTGCTGTTTCTTCTGCTAGCTGCAATGTTGATTGACCCTCTTCAGGATTTGGATATTTAACAGTTCTAAATTCCGCATCCGGATCTTTTTGTTCAGTAACACTGATGAACGGTTTAAACTCGAATACTTTGAAGGCTTGTTCAGCATAAGGTTGACCGACACCATGAATAGGGGTATAAACAAATTTTGGAGCCTTGGGAGACGAATTTAATTGAGGAAAATAACAGAGACGACGTAGCTGTTTAAAATAAATTTCCTGAACCTAAACATAGAAAGAGATCATTAAAAAAGAAAAATCTATATCAGTAAAAAGGTTAACGCAAGGTAAATACAAAGTCAGCATACCTTTTCCATTGGATCACACACTTTATTTGACTTTTCTAAAATGTCTAAATTCCATGCTTTTTCTTTCCATGGTTCTAAATTTTCTTCGATACACTTTGCAATATTTGAATCATGTGGACTAACGATCTGAGCACCATTTGCCCAATATACTTTGTAACCATTATCATCTTTTGGATTATGTGATGCTGTTACCATGATACCAGCTTTACAATTCAAATGCTTAACAGAAAATGGAATGAATGGTGTTGGAACTGTAGTAGTAAACAAATAACATTGAATATTTTCACTAAAAAGAGAAAAATGATAAAACGATAAGACAATGAGACTTCCGACATATCTCTTAAAGACACAAAACATTCATGAACGCCACAAAATTAAAAGAAGGAGTCCACATAAGGCTAATAATCAGCCCACTTTATTTTTTGTCTAAAAATGATTCTGTGAGCAGTAGAAAAGTATTATCAGTCGGTTTTAAGTCATTTCCCGTACTTTTGGTAACTAAAATGCGAGTAATTCTTCGTCAATGCGACGCCAATTGCTCAACTCTCAAAAACCAGCTATAGGTTACGTAAAAGGTGTTTTTCCCATGTTTTTTTCACGTAGGCGACAAAGTAAATATACCACTGGATAGCCCCTAAAAAAAACGAACTAAACTGCTTGGAACTCTGGGGATATGGTCAGAGGAGTTTTTAGGGACTATCCAATGACACATTTACTTTGTCGCCTACGTGAAAGAAACATGAGAAAAACACCTTTTACGTAACCTATAGCTTGTTTTTGAGGAATGAGCTATTGGCGTCACATTGACGAAGAATTACTCGCATTTTAGTTACCAAAAGTATGCGAAATGACTTAAAACCGACTGATAATACTTTTCTACTACTCACAGAATCATTTTTAGACAAAAAATAAAATGGGCTGATTATCCGCCTTATGCAGAACCCTCCTTTGATAAGACTAATAAACAGAACTTACCAAGTTGTCTACGGTAATGTCCGCAAACACTCCAAAACAAGCAATGTTAAACTTCCGAAGTTCTCGTCTGATTATACCTGACTGAAGGAAGTTATACCAATGTTCATATCCTCTGTTAGAAATATTGATTTTTTCAAAAAAGATCGAGTCACATAGTTTGATAACTCAAAATGTCTACTCTTAGAATTCACACTGTTTTTGCCAATATCGAGAGTTACTGAAGAAGTTTTCCACAAAGTATAAAAATGGATTTTCCTAAAATTCTGATATTTCCGTGAAGTATTTGAATCAAAAAGGATTTTAATGGTGTTCGTTTGTAGAGCAAATACTTCTGGTTAAAATTTGATATCTCCTAACTCTGAGCGATGCTTTGAACAAAAGTTATGACAGTTTACTCGGCATGAGCTTGGATTGGTTTCAAAATGAAGCCAAATGCAACTAGATGTTGACAGAGTCTGATTTTTGAATATTTGCGTTACTGATTTTCGGCACACATCTCGGAAGTTAAAAATTCTAAAAAAATTTTTCGAAGAGTTTTGAAAAATCTTGCGCCATACTGAAAACTACAATAGAATTTAGAAAAATAGAGTCTGCCAACCCCTGGTCGTATGTGTTGGCTTCATGATTTGAAATCAGTCAGAGATTTCCAGCATCTAGTTGACTGAAAAATTTTGCGAAATAAGCACAGTCCCATTTTTACCACTGTTACGGCTCCATCTCGCGAACGGATAAAGATGGAGTCAAAAAACGATTTCATCACCATCGTCTCAACTTTTGTCACGATTCGTCTTATGGTTACCGAGATGTATTTCTAACAGGTGAGAATCTTAATCTCTTTGCCTCAGTTATTCAACTGTATCATCACAAATATTAGACGGTGAAACATTTATCAGGAGACAATGCGAAAGATAGATGGATAGTTTTATATCTGTTACACATTTTTGATAATTCACAGCATGATTAGCTAAGACAGAGCATATTTCACTTCAAGATTTCGATATCAAGTTAAAATTATTAAATATTCTTATTTGAGATTTTGAGTATTTTTGATACAACAACTGAACGTCGAATGTTGTGTTGGTACTACAATAATCGATCATAACGGATTAAAAATATGATGGTTGTCAGTTCGAAGAAGTTTAACTTTCTGCAGTCAAATACAATCAAATGAGAACTTCAGTAGTTTAAAATTGCTTGTTTTAGAGTGTTTGTGGACATTATTATGGACAATTTGGTGAGTTCTGTCTACTAGTCTTATCAAATTTTAAGTTCGTGGCATTCAGCGGTGTTTATTTCCTTGGGGAATATTCAGACTTTCTTATTATGCTCCCTTCCTAATTTTCTCATCTCTATAGTTTTTTAGACATAATACCTTGCGAATAATGCTGCTACAAGTTGAGCAAATCGATGTGAGTTATGTCTTGCATCAAATCCAACCGCAACGCCTGTGGAAGATAAATCGTCTTTAAATTCTTGTTGTAAGTAACGTAAAAGTCCTTGTGTTGCTTGAATAACCGTCAACTCATTCATCAAAGAAAAACCACCACCCATTTTCGCTCTTAAACCAGCTGTACCAAAGTGAATACGATGACACAAACGAACACTCAAATCATCCCATTTATTTTCATTCTAGCAAAATAGAAGAATGGAATGTTGTATGATATAGCCACTACTCCATTTTCAAGTAAATTAGATTTTTAAAAAACAGAAATTCTTAACGAGTAATGGTATTAAACTAGAATAATTTAAACAGCTATAATAACTATACACATACCTTTAAATTCTCGATCTCTTTTCTTGTGGCTTCACATTGATCCCATTTGAGCCATAATTCTGTTTTTTCTTTAACATCAGAATCGGTTTCTTTGTGGTTTTTAGTTTCGGATGCCATTACCGAATTATGAATAATGAATGAAAAAAACTCAGATCTGCAACATGAATAAAACGAGTAAACAAGAAATAATTTAATTTTTTTCCAAATCAGTTGTTTCACATGTTATTAGGCCTAATATCTCACCTATAGAAAAGAATGACGCTTGTTTAGAAAAAAACGATTAAGTCAACAAAAAAGGTGCGTCAATCAAGAAACAGCTGATAAATGTCTGTATACTAACATTTTGAACTTGCAGATAAATTAGGAATAAAGTTTATTTGAGCAATAACAATGATTTCATAATATTTTGTCTATGTTATTCTAAACGTTTCCTTGAACATCATCGAAAAGAGCGGACCGTTTTACATCATTTGAGTTAATACGAATAAGGTACGAATAAGCTAGAAAATTATGAGATTCAATAACTCCGACATCTCTGTGCATAATCTACATCAGTCAAGATCTACAGACTAACGTAGTAGGACTACTCATTCCATTAGAGTTGCTTGTTTGCCTATCCTTCTTGCTATGATGATGTCATTTCTTTCACAGTAAACTATGATTACAGCACTAATAGACTCTAAGATATGGACAAAAACCAGAGTAGCGTGCATTAGAAACACTATACAGTGATTCTAAAAATTATTCGTCCACATATACAATGTGACTTTGTAGTCTATATGCAAGCACTTTTAAGATTTGGATTTTCTTTTATTCCTATTTTATTAGAAAAATAGTAAAAAGTACACGTTTTTTTACAGCTCCAAATTATTCGTCCAGAAATAGACGAAAAACTTTTTTTAACAACAAGAGTTTAAATAAGAGTTAATACTTTGTTGAATAGCCTTTCATCTTGATACATTCATGCAATGGACTTGGAACAGAATCGGCAAATTTTTTTCTAACACAGATAATTTGATTTAGTTCCATTTCTCTCCCAATTATCTTCTTTGTTTTTTGACTGATAATTCTTCCCTCGAGCTCGATTTTCTATGAGATTAGAATCGGAAGAATATGTTAACCAGGGTAAAACTTGAATTTGCGTTTTTTTCAAATAATCTTCAACCCTTTCCAGCCGGTTGTTTTTAAAATACAACAAAAGTGTTGCCAAATGGCAACATCAGACTGGAAAGGATTAACTATACCTGAAGTGTATTTTGGAACATCATTCAAATAATGTTTAATTATCAGTGTTCGAAGATCATTTGAGTATTCTTTCTTTTTTTTTGCGCCATTATAATTAATTACACTCCCAAAAACTCATTAGGCTATTTATGCCCTAGCTATAGGTTTTAGAACTCACTAAGAGAATGTTCTCGAACATTCTCAAGGAAATTCTAGTTCAAACTAGGATTTTTTCAAAATAAAAAATTTTTCTCCTATTTCTGAACGAATAACTTTGCATTGTAAACTATTTTTCTAATGAAATAGGAACAAAAGAAAATTAAAAGCTTAAAAGTACTTGCATATAGACTATCGATGATGTTTGTCTGAACTCTCTATCTTGTTTTGTTTTGAAATAGTACACAAAACAAAGTCACACTGTATAGGTGAACAAATAATTTTTCGAGTCATTGTATGTTCATACAAGAGTTTAGTCATTTGCAATTATTTAAGGCGCTCCAAATTCAAAGATCAAGCACTATTTTTGAATTCATTTGTAAGATACATCACTCGACGCAGAATTTGGCGTTGATCACGAATATCACCTTTAAAGTTTGATTACTTTGCGTTTTCCCTGAGAAAACATAAAAATTCGAAAAAACCGCGATTTTTAGGCAAAAAACGTGGTTTTGGAAAACCGCTTTATAGCCTAGCCTGGTCGCACTACAGAACCTTCAAAGTCAATTATACTTACTTGCCGTAAAAAACTGTATCTGCTCACCCACGTCCACGGCAATCGAATCAAGTTTTTTTCTGTAATAGATAGCGACTTAATTGTTTCGACATTCAACGCGCAACAAAAAACTCTATAGATTCACGGATTTTTATTTCGAAATTCCAGTTTTTTGCAGAAATATGCCTTTTTTGCCGAAAAAACACAGTTTTCACCACAATCGGCCAAGTCATCGATGTATAGATCCACTATTTTCGCCTCGAAAGTTTTCAAACTCAAGTTCTATAGGTACACTGTCAAAAAAAAGTGTCTTGATAAATCACTTAACTGGCTTAAAAATGCTTCCACAGTGCGTTTTGAAGGCACGTGAGGTGCATTTTCTCCTCTTTTTACTGTGAGTCGCCTTAATGTCTTCGAAAAAACACCTCTA